TTTTTGTTTGTTTGTTTGTTTTTTCAGACATGTTATCACACTGCAGTTTGTGCTCACAGGTTCAGCATCTACTCAGGCTGGCACAGCAGGATAAGCACAGCTGGTCTTTACTCAGGCAGACAGAGCTGAGATGGAGAATAGGTCGACCAGAGGGAGCAGGGCCTTCTCTTTCCAAAGGTCAAATCACACAGAGTTCACATTAAATATGGTGCTGACTAATTTATAGTACCAGATGAGTTCCAGTCTCAGCAGTACTATTTCATCCATCCTTTAAACCTGTAACCCAACCTATTGCCTCGTGATTCCCCTATACCGCGTTGTGCTCTTTTGGTGTCCTTCACATCATGCGCTATAATTCAGCTCACAGTCACCTCACTTCATCTTTGTGTGACTGGATTGCTGTAAAAGCAGCTGTTTTTGTTGTCCGTCCTGCGGCTATGTTTGGGACCTGCTGCGATTTAAACACACTTCACTTTACAGCATTAATAACCTTCCTCAACTTAAACATCAGAGAGGACAGAGCTGTGCCCTGCTTCTTCATTTTGAAGCACCGATTGAAGTTTGACCAGAGTCGTATAAGTTATTGAGAGCATTAGATTGAAAATGATTTAAATGGGTGTTCAGAGGCAAAATGCCGCCTGAGTGGAACAGCAGTGTCCACTAAAAACAGTTTTATTGATTGCCTCTCACCCTCCTATGCTTTAAATCTCTTTTCTTTCTCATCTTTCTCCCCCTCCTGTTCTTTATGACTGTTAGAATCATACTTTTTTAAGCACCAGCCAGGTAAACAGCCAAGACGCACATGCACATATGCACATACAGGTTGTGTCATGCAGCTGTGAACAAAGGGCCCTCATGGGGTAGACCGTCAGTCTCGCTGTGTATCAAAGATGAATGCTCAAGTCTAACAGATGTTTAGAATATGCAAGGCATGGTCATAGGTCAGGGCCACCATGACTTTGACCCCAAACAGTTTCACCTCAGCGCTGTAACTGATGCTTTAGTTGACCAAATAGCTGCAAAACCACTGGCATTCCCATCAAACAAGCTAAACTAAAGCAGTGACTGTCTGATATCTTTACTGGGTGTTAGATAAATTAAACTGAATTTGAAAGTATGCAGAGGCTCAGTTGACTCGACAACAGCATAAAGTGATATTTCATGATGTTGGGATGGTAATTAATTGCACCTTTTTTTTCAGCACCGTGCTCCCTCACTCTACAGTATGTATCGTCTATCTTTTTAGCTGTTTCCTTTTGTCTCCGAACCCAGCTAGCTTCATTTCTCCTAAGCAGTCTTCAGTGAATGAAGGGGTGTGCAGTGACAATAGGAGAGTCAGACAAAGATGTATAGATTCAGACAGAGAGCATAGTGTGTAAATGTCACATGCTCCCACATGCTCATTAGCAGCATCCACATTAGTCTTGCACGCCCTGCTCCTTCCCCTCCTCCCTACCATCTCTGTTCTACCTATTCACTTTTCCTCAAGGAGAAAGGACAAGGCACATTGGGATCATCGTGTCTTTGAAGAGGAATGACCACTAACCTGTAAATAATGCATGCGCTGTTCCGGCATGTGTCACAGTTCGCTGTGTCCTGTCCGGTTCGATAGGAGAGTCTGCAGGGAAGATAAGAGCTGTGAATGAGTAATTATAGGACTTGTTAAGCAGCTCTCTTACACCTTCCTTTCTCATCTTGTTTGTCATCCCTCATTAGCAGGACCAGAGTAAATGAGGGTGACGAGGAGTCACACTGCCCTCCCGAGTGGCCCGTGTCCAGCAGCAGGACAGAAAGAGCACTGTGTCAGCCATTAGATGTGGCTGACTGATTGGAAGTCAGATATGACAAAGTGGTACACAGGAAGAGTTTCTGGGCTGCAGTGAAAAAGTTTTCATCAGGGACTGTTACCTTACAACGACATTACAAATGCTCTCAAGAAATAATAATAAAAAATAGGCTGCAACCAGTCATAGGTTTCATTACAAGCAAGCATGCAAAAACCTCAGAGCCATTCCCCTTAGTCTGATATAAAACAGAGAAAATCAGTAAAGAGTTGTTTATTCTTTTGTGACCAATCAATAAATTGAGTAAATGCATCAGGACTAACAATAGGTTTTGACTGTTAGTCAAAGTATTTTTTCTTTATTTGTTCACTATGAGCAGCTACCTGTGTTATCCCCCAAGATCAAACTTTTTTTACTCATACAAGTGAAATGTTTGGGTTGTAAAACTTACAGTAAGGTTTATCTTCAGTAAGAAGGTTTTTAATAATCATTTGTAAAAGCAAACAAAGTTAGAATCATTTGTAAGTGGAATTGATCCTCTAAGATGATACAGTTTCACAGTTTTGCCTTTAGGCTATACAGTCGGTTTGTGTTAATTTCACTGTGATACACATTCACCAAATTGACATTAAAACACATCAACCTATCTTGTTTTTTTACCTGTTGTCTCAGAGATAAAATATTGAACTAAGTTCCCATTATAGAGCCTATTTTTCAAGGTGCAGCTTGAGGCTCGAATGGAACTGTTTGGTTATATGCATTAAAGGAAAGGATCAATGGCGTTCTTATTGCATTAGCATCTGGGAATGTGCATATTGATTGACAATGAGTGTTTCTTCTTGAAATAAATAACGCATTACAGTAGACACACTTCGTTGATGATATGGATAAGATGGAAATCCTTTGGTGTTTTTGATGGTGGTTTTTATTATCTGGACTGTTGACACACGTCAGGCTTTCTGTAGCCGTTATTTACCGGTCCACCTCACTCCTTCAGAGGTTAAATTGAGTCACACATACAGTAGTAGCTACCAAGTACAGCCATTCTCCCACTAAAGCAGTATTGTAATTTGATGGAGTTATTTCAAGGTGTCTCTTATATTTGCTGAATGATTTTGTCTCATCATGATCACTGTCCTTCGTGGATAATTGACAGACCTCAGTGTGAAAACTGAAAAACTGTCCACTCTGTCTGGACAAAAATGTTGTGTGAAGTTTTTATTTACTTCCACTGTAGTGTTGCTGAGGTAGAAAACATAGCAGCTGGAGGTTAACAAACTACCAGAATTTGTAAAACGACCATACAGTAGCTCCAAACGTTCCTCTCCACATTGCGGTTAAACTGCTAACTTTCACATGTAGTTTCCGTTTCTCTTTTTTGCAGTAGCACAGGCACTTTTCTGTTTTCTCTCAAGGACTCTTGTCATGTTGCCCATAAGGCACACCAATAAAATTAAACCGCCATCATAAATTTCCCTTCTTATCTACTTTTCTGTGCTGTATGCCGTGACAGGTATATTAGAGGTGTTGATATGAATATTGTTATTTAAGGCTGTAGGAAAATGAGGTAGTGGGGAGAGTCTGCAAACAGCTTGAATGCAGTGACATGGGGAAGCTTTCTTGAAGTTTGCAGCTTCGATTAATTGTAATTAAGGGGCTTGCCACTGGAGAGGGGTGACGGTGCAGTGGGGAAGGTCATGGCCACCTTCACTTTTCACCCAGATGAGCCGATTGATGAGTGGCTAATGGGGTACATGGGCAACTGGATCATGTCCTTTGAATGACCCAAATTCTCTCTATCCTGTCTCATGCTGTCTTGATCTTATACTCTCTCTCTCTTTCTCTCTAGTCTCTCCCCACCCTCTATCACACAGAGTTGATAAGAGAAAATAAGAGAGCAGAGCCAATTTCGACAGGACTCCCTGTGGAGAGCAAAGCCAAAAGTGCCATTAACAGTATATTTATACGCCATCCTCCTTTTGTGCTAGTAGGTGCACTTTCCCAAAGGTCACTGAGGAGGTGGGAATCCAAAGGCAGAAAAACATCTACACGTACTAGTATATACACAGTGTTAATAGAGCACCAAGTCCACATAAGTGTAATGAATTGGGTCTGGTTGCCAACACTGGCTGATGATGCAGCAAAATTATTCCTGAGCTTTGTGCTATTAGATGCAACCAATAATGTTCTGTACTGTGTCATATGCCCTTGGCAGGGCTGTACTGATGGATGCATGTGTAATTATGTACATGGTGTGCTGGGGAACAAGGTGAGCCATTGTGCGCTAAACTCTTTCTTCCCCAGGAGCTTGAGAGTGATGTATATTCAGTATGAGAATACGTATGTAGTCTGGGAAATTCTAAGGAGATGCGGCCTCACCGGCGTCACTTCTTTGCTTTCTTGCTGTTTTCCTCATCAACTCTGTTCTCATTGGGTAGCTAAGTGAGAGAATTTCTTATGTTGGTTAGTGTTTAGTGTCAGGACATAATGTTCATTTTCTGCATAGACAATGTTTGGTGACTTGCATTTGTGCTCTTCCGCTTCATGAATGGACTT